TGGATCTACTGGAGCTTGAGCGTCTGATAAACCCTCTGAGACTAGTAAGCATCACTAGGACTCTCCAAGCCATCATTTAGCTACACATATTGTGTCTCAGTTTGGAATGTCTTGTATGGTTCTATCATACTTCAATGCTAAAATTAATTTTATAAGTCTAAGATCTGCTTCTGAAAAGTCGAAGTTTTTAAAATTCTCTTTAATCATTATCAGACCATTAATTCCTAGCCTTAAAAAAAATAAATCCTTCTCAAATTCCAAAGACATTAAATTTAAAATCATTTCAAATGCTTTATTTTTATGGAAAATTCTTTTGCTTTTGGCAAATCTGAGTCTCAGAAGAAATCTAAATTCGAGCCCAAGAGTTTTCATAAGTATGTTTTATGTCTATTATATCACCTAGCCTTATACATATGTCTCTTGGAAAATTTTTAGCTTTTTGATCTTTTGGGTCCTCCATCTATTATCAGATAAAATCCTCTGCTTTGTGAATCTCTCTCTCTACACACACACACAGTTAGCAAATCACAGGAAATTCAATCTGAATTAGTCACAGAGCTGAATTAGCACAAGAAAAGTCTTTTAGAGAACACCTTATGTTTTTTGACCTCAAATTGTGTGGGCCCTTGTAATAACAGCTAGTGTTGCCTCTTGATTCTTGGTCTCTATTATTGCCTCTCTGACAAACAGTTTATAGCCTATGATCTTTCCAGTTGTCTTCTCACCCGATATTTTATACCTCAGGGACTTTGTCTTAGAGCTGTTCTGCATTTGCTTGCTCATCCATGGTGACCTTGTTTGGGCTTTTAGTTTATTTGTTGCCCGACGATACATACCAAGCCTTACAGGGACCATTGACTTTATATACATTCAATTTATTAACTTTAGTCATCACTGCTTCCTTACAGACTCAAAAAGCACCCTGAAAGGGGTACACCAAGGTCACCCTTTAAAGGTGAATGCCCTTTTCATTGCTGTCTTCTTTCAGAGATGTGGAGGTTCAACCTGTTCTATTCCCCATCCAGCCACGACCAGTCCCCCACTTTGGCCATTGTTTTTTTTTTTTTTTTCTGAAACCAGCATTGATCTTACTGATAATCATAGATTGCAGCAATGCAACCATGAAAATTCAGGTTAGTTTGCTTGCTTGTGACTAGATTGATTTATAAGCACCTCTGTCATTCCCCCTACCCCTTTTTTCAGTTTGTTTGAATGCAGTATAGAGTTTGTCATTGATTTAAAAATTAAAATCAGGTCAGTAATAGCAGAAAACATTTAATGAATTTACATCCAAGAAGGTAAGCATCCCTATTAGGAAACCACCTCACATTTGTTAACTACTTACTACTGAATGGTGGGTGACCTCAATATAGAGAGTTACAAGATGATAAGTAATACTGAATATTCTGGGCATATTATCAAGGAAATGTATAAAAGCTTTATCTACAAATATACCAAGAATTATCCATTACCATCTCAAAGTCCATTAAATTAATACAACAGAAAAAAATTTATTTTACATGATCTAAATGATTTAAAACATGGTCCTTTGTGGGAAAAAAATCACTGGATTAGGAAATAAAGGATCTTATACCTTTTTTGACCCCAAAACTAGTAAACCTTGGGCAAACTCTTCCTCTCTGTGAGCCTCTCTTGTCTATCTCACATCATTGACAAACGATGTAAGATGGTCCTGTGCTTAAAACGACAGCCTCTTTTCCCTGCTAGAATCTAGTCATTCCTTGATCTAGTTGCCCCATGCACTCGCAGCCCAGCAACTAAGTTGTGTGCCTATTAAGAGTCTGTTGTGATTGTTGCCAGTTGTGTCCTTGTAATTACATATTGTAATACAAAATTTGTAAGTTGATGAACTGAAAATATAAAAGGGCAGTTTTATGTCTATGACAAATAAGTTAAAAGCTATGGAGACCTGGATAAGGAGAATGTTACAAAAGAAACGTGCATATGTATTTATTAACTGTGAGCTAGATATTTGTATAAGAATGGACACAATATTTAGAAGGGTTCACATCACAGGCATTTTGGACCCTATATCAGTCTACGACCATTTTAAACAAAATTAAAGACAGAAAGTTTTTGTATTTACTGAGCTGGGGTGTGAATTTGCAATGCAAATTTACCCAAGGGCCAGCTTGTGGCCACGTTTCCACAGGTACTTATTTTTTATGCTTTTATTTCTCTCAGCTCTAGTCATTCTATGCTGTGGGACAGCGGTATACTTCATATTACTCTAATCGTGCTGTACTTTGGGGTCCTGCCTTTTAAATTTGAGGCCGCTGAATCTCAAGTTTAGCAGGCCCAACAATTTTATATTTGTTTTCTTATCTGAAAAAATCTGTCAAAGCAGAATTTCAATATTTTCCAATCAGTAAAAAATTTCACAGTAAGAGTGCCTTTCTTGCTATGTTCAGTCTTCTAGGGTCCTACTTTCTCTTAGATTTGGTTTTGTAATCCCTCTTCGCTTTTTCAGCCCTTTGATGATACTTAAAATATATTCTAACAGTTTTGTTTTCAGCAGGAGGATTTTTCTTTATAACCTGTTCTACATTATATGCCATAGACTTTCTATAGGCCACATACTCATGATTCTTGTTGAAAAACCAAATTGGCTTTTGAAATTGACACATCCCTCTGGAAGAGGTTGGTACCAGGTAAAACTTAATATTGCCAAAACTCAAACTTTTCCCGAAGTAAAACTAAAACTACTGAACTCCTTTGCGTTACCTAATTCTGTTTCCAATATGCTAAAAGACCTTATAAATTTTAGGTGGCCTGATTGTTGGTAATGATTTCATTTCACCTCCATGCCTTGATTTTCTTCTAACCTTATCAGCATTTTGAGAAAGCTAAATTTATATAAATCATCTAATACAAGGCTTTCCAGTAAAAGCCCCATGTGGGGCTTTTGCATACTTGTTACATGGCTAGTGTGACTGAGGAATTGAATTTTAAATGTATAAGCTGCACATGGCTAGGGCCTGCCCTACTGGAAGGCACAGATTCTAAGACAAATTTATTTATGATACTGTAGGGCAAATATTGGTTGTAGAAGAAGGCTTCATAAAAACATTTTTGTAAGCATGGTAGAACCACAAACACTACACTCAATCTTACTTATTTGGTTTTTGGTCTTTGTTGTGGCGTTCTGATGAGGGCATCCATGTTGACAGGGACACAAAAATAGTCAAGGGATTTTGTCTTTTTGAGGTTATAGGAGGATCATTTATTAATCTACTCATCTCTCAAAAGCTATCACCTGAACACCTAGCACATCCAAACACTTGGCCCTGGACCTCCTAAGGAAAATAAAACAAGGTTCCTACTCCTTTGCAGTTTGCAGTCTAGTTGGGGAAACATGCAGTAAACAGTTAATATATAATATACAATTTTAAATTGAGACAGGTGCTACAAAAATGATAAATATCTCCATACTTTTTTTTTCTTTCCTGGATGTTTTTGAGTTAGGCATCCATTCAGGTCCAGGATTCTTAGAAGCTTACTAAAGGCTTAGTAATCAACCCCTGTACAATTATGTTAGTCTAACAATATCTCACTTCAACAAGGCAAATAAATGTGTGTGTTTGTATTAGCTAAGTAAAGAGATTTTTTTTTTTTGGTTTGGTTTCTAGTTTACCTCTTGGCCCATTCAGTTGGAAGACCAAACATGTAAGGTTAAGGGAAAAAAACTTTCTCTGAAGTCACAGATTTACCAAATTGTTGATTACTTTGTCTCTGAAAAGGGCCCTAGAAATAATCTAGACTAATCCTTTATTTTATAAATGAGAAAGGAAGCCTAAACAATGAATTTACTGTACATGAATATGCACTTGCAGTCACAGCACCAGGTTTTAAGAATCCTTCATCAGTGTTCTATTGACCATATTACACCAACTTTGGATCACATCAAAGTAATCCAAAGTAGTGGTGATTTCTCAAAGTTCTTAGTCAATTTACATTCTATCATCAATTAATTTAAGATTTTAATGTTTCTATTAAATTGTGTCTTTTCGGGGGATTCTTTTAAATTCCTCATCTATTTAGTATGTAATCAGCTCAGATTGTATTATTTACTTTTTTTTAATTGGTAGTGTAAAAACCTATAAAAGAGAAATTTAAGAGCTATAGAAAACATTACAGAAACAAGGTCATATAAATTTAATTTCTCCTTCAATTTTATAAATAAATGTACTGCTAAAAAGGTCAGGAACATAAAAATCCATCTTATCACTTACCAGTTCAAAGTAAAAACAACAAAGGAATTTCACCAATTGTCAGGCGTTTGCAAAGCTTTTAAGCAATTATTCTAGGCCCAAATTTCATCTAAAACTTTCCTCAGCCCACTGTAACCTAACCACATCCATTCCACATCACTTTATGAGGATTGACAATCATTCAGCAGATTCAACCAGGTAACGTGGTTTTCATTCTAACAGTTTGAGAGGTTTACAGCAAAGAAAGGAAAACACAGAATATTATAACTTATTTATCAGGAGTACAATAATATGGATGTGGTTAGATTACAACAGTCTTGAAGAAGGAAAAAAGGTAAACAGCAGAGCCCAGCAAAAGCACAAAGGTACAGTCAGCATCCTTAGTGGGCCGGGCGGCCTGCACTCCAGACCCATTCTTTCAGCCCGGAGGAGAGGGACGTGCTGACAGGGGCGCCTTCGAAAGAGCGTGTGCGTGTCAGTGCCCATTACCTTACACAGCCCACAGGGTCTGGGCACTAGTCACAACCCACGACGGCCTAGTCAGCAAGTAAGAGCTGATCTGACACCCGCCCATTACCTAGACCGCCCACGCCTACAACCAACGGCCAATTTCTCGTGGACCGGGATACCCTTTTGCCTCGGTTCTCGGCTCCACAAACGAGCCGGTCAGAACCGGAAGCTTTTCTGCCCCGGTCTTCGGGCGTGTTTACGTCAGCCGCACAGGCGCAGTAGAGCTCAGGCGGAGTTGTGGGAGGAGAAAAGGAAGAGGCGGAGGGGGTTGGGACTGGTCCCAGAAGATGGCGGAGGCGGGGGTGAGTTGGGGTCTTCCTGCGAAGCGCCAGTGATTTGATCCTGAGGGAAGTGGCCCGAGGAAGTGGGTGGCCTGTGCGAAGAGGAACTGCTGGTGATTTTGCATTCTAGGAACTCTACTGCCAAGGGCGGGGAGCCAGGACTACAGATGGGGCCTGAAGGCCGAGGAGTTCACTCACCTGGAGACTGGTCGGCGAGGTTCAAGGGGACAACGGGGTTGGGGAGAGGTAATTGGAGTGGTCGAGGCTCCCCAGACAGTGTAAGAGTGTCGTAGAGGAAAGAAGGCTGGGGGATGGCGGGAAGGGCGACCCTGGATATCTGATGGGGGTGGAGAAGGTCGGCAAGCTGTCCAGCATAGAGCTGTTAGGACTTTGGAGGCTTGTAGCCAGGGAGAATGGTGGATCCAAAAAGGTAGATATTGCAGTAAGTTTGGAATCTACAGGACGGCAATGTTGACATTGGGTTGAGGAGTGGGGCTTTGGCATTTAGGATTGGAATTGGAAACTTTTGGAGAAGGTATGGGTATGCCAAAGAGAATTCTCGCCAAGACCCAGAAGTTGGTTGGTGATAACTCTCACTGCGCTATTCTAGAGTTGGTCAATGGAAAATAGCTGTCTGGTAAAGGAAGGCAGTGTGGATGATGGGGGGACGGGGAGAGGGTGCTAAAAGTGACAAGTACCAGTGCGCAGTTAGTGTTGGAAAAAAAGTTATTAAAGTGTTAGCTAGATCTGAAAATATACAATGAAGAGCTTACTATTTGGTAGGATTGATGAAGAAATGCTTTAAGAAGGAATTGATAGACTTGACAGCTGGGTCACTGGAAATGACCCGGATCAGTATTGCAGTGGAGCTGAGGATTGCAGGAAAGGCACACTCCAATCCTGGATGCAGGAAGAATGAAGGCAGCCAAGCAGTAGTTAGTGTTTCCCAACCTTTGGGTTTGGACTTGGTATAAGCCACTTTGTGAAAACAAAGAAGATGCTGACACTAATAGGGTTCCCACAGGAAAAAAAATAATAACCATATTGTCCTTCTACTTTCCACCGTCATTCTTTCTCTGGACATTTTGTCCAGCACTGTGTTTTGTTAGAGTTTTCAGTAGATATTGATATAAAGTGACCAAGCTGTGAATTGGGTACATTTGGGAAAGAGATTGATTCTTTTTAAACTGACAACTGTTGCTTTTACATATGATGGGCTGAAAAGGAAAGAATAAAATGTAACTCAGAAGTTTAAAGACAGCTTGTTTTCATTGTTATCAGAAAATTACTCCCAAACAGTGTAGGAACATTTTTAGAGTGAAATTTGACATTTAAAAGCAGTAATGGAATGTGAATGCTGCTTGGTTAATGGTTTCTGTGTCTGGATTTTAATGTGGAGAGGAAAGGTGAGTTTCAGTGTCTTCAAGGCAAACATTTTTCTTCCTGGAAGTTTTTAGTGTGTGTAGCCTATGATTCACATGTGTGTGCTTTTATTTAAGAAGAGTTAATTTTTTTTATTGATTTAAGTGTGTTTTTCCTAATGCTAATGCTTATTCTATTTTGAGAATGCCATTCTAATTAAGAGACATATGATGAAAAAGATGTGAGGTAGTAATTTAATTTAACTATTGAGTAGCCTTTGTGACCTAAGCACCTGAACAGACAGGATAATCCGAGGGAGCAAACATACTTCTGTGACTACTAATTATTGTATAGTGAATGATCTTGTTTGATTTTAGGGGTTGTTGCAATTATTAGATGCAACTGGTTCATAAGGTCACTAGGAGATTTTGTTTGTGTGTTTGTTTTCAGTAGCTTGTTGCCTGAAATTGTTTTAGTGGCAAATGTCAATTTTGATTTTCATTCACAAAGTTCAGAATCACTTGTAATGCTCGTTTATTTAGAAGTAATTAATATCAGTCCACTAACAGGTAACCATGTACCTGGAATAATGTCTTTCCAGTTTTGATTATTTGTTACTTATCTATCCAAACTATTTGAACTGTTTTTCTTTTTGTTCAGTAATGTACATTATGAAAATTGTAGGTGAGTGAACAGAGGGGAGAGGGGAGGGAATTTCAGGGGAAAAGGGTAAGGGTTTACAGGAACAAGTATAAAAGACATGGCCAAATACAAGGGGGAGTGAAAATGGGAGGGAGGTGGTGAGGGGTGGGCTGGGATGGGAGTAAAGGACAGAAAACTGTACTTGAACAACAATTAAAATAAAAAAAATTGTAGATCAGGGCCCAAGGTAGAATTTTTCATACCCTCTGGAAGTTTTTCTTTGTCAGTTGAAAAAAAAAAAGCTTATTTTGGTATTAGCAGTTCTTTAGCCACATGACTTTAAAAACTGTTTCTTGTGTAGCACTTAAATTGTTTTTGTGTGGTGTTTGTAGATGGAGGCAAGGAAGTGCTCCGGACATGGAACCAGAATGCTTGAGGCTAATACTGGTACTAGCTGGTAACAGTTTTATGATCTCAGAAAGTTACTTAACCTATTTTATTTTATAAAGTGAGGATTAAAAACACCTGCCCACTTACCAAGATTATTGTTGAGGATCTATTGAGATATTATCCTCTAAAGGGTATCTTTATACCAGAGACTTCTTTCCTGATCAGCAAAGTGTTTCTAGAGTAATGAAAATTTTTCAAATAGTTATTTTTTAATTTTGGAGAATCAAATTTATTATTGATATAGGTAATATTTAAAGCTATATGTGTGCTTTGTTTAAAGAAAATAATTTCAACACATAATCAGAAAAACAAACTTTAAAACAAACAAATTAGGGAATACTTATTCTAAGAGCTTTCACTTTAGAATAATCCACTCCCTTTTTTTTATCATTAATGTTATTACAGCTGTCCCCAATTTTCCCCCACTTTGTCCCCTTCCACCCAGTCTCCACCCCGCAAGCCTTCATCACAAAAAAACTATGGTAATTTACATTACATATATTTACCAAAAAAATCCACATCCTATAATTATAATATGACTGAATATTTTTCTAGAGAATTTTGTGTTAGGGATGTTCACCTGCTCCTAACTAAGCCAACCAGTCCCTTTCCTATCACAATGGTTAGTACCAGTGGTAGGCAACTGGCTCAAAGAAGCCGTATAATAGTCCCTTATCTGAAGATTTGAAGTTAAGTTCCAGAGAGCCAAGACTGTATCATTATTTAACAAAATCTACTGTTTAGCTAAATTTTAAGTATGTATATTCACAAAATTATAGTAATAAATAAAGAGTACAAGGAACAACAAAGTAAAATAACCCACTCCCCTAGTGTGTGACTAATATTATAAACAATATTATTTTCCAGTAACTTAATTGTTCCACAGTAGAGAATGAATGGTCTAGTGGAATTTCTTATCCCTTTGATGAGTATGGCCATTTCCAAGAATTCAATTTACATGTCTGTGGTAGTGAGATCCAGTAGAACACAGTCTTGATCTTGTCATTGCACATGACCACATTGAGTCTCATTTGCATCACGAGCAAAATGAGAGAACAGTCAGATCACTGGTTCTTAACTTCTTTGGGATTGTGGATTTGTTGGTACTTGTTATACCCTGCAGAACTCTCTTCCCAGAACAATGCATATATGCACAACTTTTTTGTTTGTTTTTGTTCTGCATTAGGCTCACATACCCCTTAGAATGGATGATCACCCATTTCACTGTCATTGCTTAAATTTTAGGATACTATGATTCTAAAGCATTTAACTTTTATTTTTGTCTACAGTAATTATATAGTCAGAAAATTAGGTTTTTAGACTTTTCAAAGATCTTTAAAAAACTCATTCAAATTAACATCAAAGAAATATCATGCTATTTTTAAAGAAAACTTTTAGGGTGAAGGAGGAAACTGTAAACAAGCACTACTAGGAAAGGTTGAATAAACAGCTGTGGTAGAATAACGTAAACAGTTTAGAAAGTCTCTAGCAGCCTTGAAATAGAATAAGGAAAGAGTGTCTAGAAATTAGTGGCTCTCAGTGGAGAGTATTGTATCTCTGGGGGCATTTGGAAATCTGCGGGGACATTTTTAATCGTCTCAAATTGGGAAAGAGGCATGTAGTGGCATCTGGTGGGCACAAGCCAGGGATGCCCAGTGTTTTGCAATGTTTAGGGAGGTTCCACACAACAAGGAATCATCCAGCCCCAAATTACAAAGCCTTTTGACAGCCACTGGTGAGTGATTGTGAGATGGGGTCTACCACAACTGAAATAACTGCATGAACAAATGATTTACTAGAGCAGTTTGGGTAACTTAAAATGTATATACAGTTCATCCTTGAACAAGATGGGTTTGAACTGCATGAGCCCATTCATATACAGATTCCCCCCCACCCCAGTAAAATTCATTTGGCCCTTGGTACTGTGGGTTTTGCATCCACAGATTCAATCAACCCTGTATTGAAAACAGTATTTCCAATCCTTAGTTGGGAATCCACAGATGTGAGAACTGACTGTATTCATTGCCGTATGCCATATTATATAAGGAGCGTGAACATCTGTGGATTTTGGTATCTGTGGGCAGTCCTAGAACTAATCCCTTGTGGATACTGAGAGTCAACTGTAGTTAAGGTTTTTGGAGAGTCAGAAATTATACACAGGCTTTCAACTGCAAGTACAGCACCCCCAACCCATGTTGTACAAGGGTGAACTAGTTTTAACAGCAAAAAAGGGGTTTTGCTGTGTTTCCTCGAAGTTTGGAAAGTAAAGAGTCTATTGTTGGTCTAATGCAGCCTGTAAAGTTGGCAATAAGGTTTTTTTTTTTCTTTAAAACATTTTTTTTATTCCTTGATTTAGTACATTTAAAGATAATTTTGCCCTGGCTGGTGTGGCTCAGAGTGGACTGAGTGCTGGCCTGCAGACTGAAAGAAAATTTCAGGATGTTTGTACATTCATTGTGTTTGTGTTACTATATAGTCGCCTACTTATACTGGCATTAGTACCTTGAGAATGTATTATAGTTGAGATTGTTTTCTAATATCTACCTGTTAGCAGCAGTGTTAGACCTTGGTTCATGAGTTCAGCAAAGAAAGAATTCAGAACCAAGAACTCTAGTGCAAGATGATTATTTAGAAAGTCACAGAGGTAGAAGAAGTGAGCCAGCTGGGCTGTGTGAACTCAGGAAACAAGTTACAGAGGCAAAAGAAGAGCCCTTGGAGCTTAGAAGAAAGAAAGCAAAGGTACACATGCCTGAGGGAAGAAAGTGGTGGAGGGGAGGCATGGACTTGCACCAGAGAGAGAGCATACACTGGGTTCTTTGTCTTAGGGGTTTTTATCTGCTTTCTAAAGGTGGGAATTTTAGGGGAGGTATCAGGGGAAGACCTCAATAGAACATTCATCAACTTTCTAGGTGTGTTCTTTCAGGATCATGGTCTCTACTGATTGGTTAGTTCTGGGGTAGGTTTCATTAGTCATTGCATCTGGTCCTGATGTCATCCATGGCGTTGCTTCATCTGCTTTTGTTGCTTTTCTGGGCCTGGAGCTGAAATACAGCTGTGGCCACAGAGACAGAGTTTTGGTCAACAGACTCAAGGCTTTGTTCCTAAGATTATTTGATGCTTCTCAGAACCCCCTTGTCCTGTGGACTTAAAGCTTAAGGGAGTGGTCCTGCAAGGGAGGAGGAGGCAGGTGGGTAAGGGTTTTGGATGTGGCCAGCTTGAATCAGCTTCTGCCCTGGCTGGTGTGGCTCAGTGGATTGAGCATCAGCCTACGAACCAAAGGGTTGCTGGTTTGATTCCCAATCAGGGTGCATGCCTCGGTTGCAGGCTAGGGGTCAGAGGTGTGTGAGAGGCAACCACACACTGATGTTTCTCCCCCCACCCCTTCCCCCTCTCTAAAAATAAGTAGATAAAATCTTTCTAATTTTTTTTAAATCTTAAAAAAAAAAAGAACCAGCTTCTATTTCAGTTTCCTCATTTCAATGGCCAAGGAATTTTCCTAGCTTCTTACTACCCTGCTTCATATCCATCTTTTCAGTAACCAAATCCTCTTCTATAGACCCAGGTGCCTGAGAAGTTAGGCTGGAGTGAGACTCAAAGGTTAGAGGGGAGAGAAAGGGCTTTGGAATCAGTCAAATGTAAGGAAGAATCTCAGTTCTAATATTGCATATCATGTGACAATAAGCAAGTTGCTAAATCTCTTTGACTTAATATCTTCATTTATAAAATGGGGGTGATAATACTTATGTTTAGGGTTATTTTGAAGATTAGAGTTACTGTATGTCTGGCATGGACTAGGCCCTCTGTAAATGGGTGCTACATCAATAGAGATGATGATGATGATGATAATGAAGATGAAGAAGATTTCTGTAGCTACTGAATAGCTTGCTTAAGTGACTAGAACACATGACTTGCTGACATGCTGCATACTTACAGCAAGGAATGGTCTGTGAGATCAGGTCAGGAGGAGGTGTTTTCTGGGCGTTTTCAAACGGTGTTCAATCTATTTTCCCATGAATCAGCTGTAATGTGTACCATTTTCTCTAGTTTCCTAAGCTGTGCAGAGGTGTCCAACCTTTTGGTGTTTCTAGGCCACACTAGAAGAAGAGTTGTCCTGGGCCACACATTAAATACACTGTGACACATAATCACACAAAAGTCTTACAATGTTTTAAGTAAATTTACAGTCTTGTGTTGGGCCACATTTATAGCCACCCTTAGCCTCATGCAGCCTGCAGGCTACAGATTGGACACACCTGCTGAGAGCTTAGTTATGCTATAGACTAAGTAGGTTTGTGAGGGCTGGCTTGAGGACAGAATTCCTCCCTTGATTGTTGAATACGGAGCTTCGGGTGTAGCAGAGGCTTAGTAAAAAAGTGTGCTGTTTGTTTTTATCATATGAAACTGATAGGCTCTGAAAATTGCTAGTACTTGACAGATATTTTCATACTGATTATTTCTAAAGGCAGTACCCCTTCCTGCCAATTCACACACGAGTTTTGTTCCAAAGTTCATTTGTAAGATAATTTGAAACTTGGAAACTCAAGAGGAAATGCACTGTGCTTTCCCATGTATAATGTGGTCCTATATATAATATGTACCCATGGTTTTAGCACTGCACATCTATAATGTACACAAATCAGTACTACCCATGTAGAATGAGCATCCTTATTTTTCCCTTAAAAATTTGGTCAAAAAGTGTGCATTATACATGGCAATATACAGTATTTTAAATGATGATCAAGTGCTCAGTTTACTTTCCCAAAGGCCTGTTTAGCCCAGGGAATTTGATTCAGAAAGAATTAACCCAATTTCTTTAAACGAATGTGAATATATAGAACTCACACTGTGGTCTAGGCCAGTACCTTTCTGGATACATAGGCACAGTGGTGACTTAATAGTGAATAGGACCTATATAAAAAGTTAATAATTCATAAAACACTATACATATTATCATAAGATAGCTATTAGAAGTACCATCCTAACCGTTTAAATAAACTGCTTTGAGATTCAAGGGAAACATCATATATGTGCTGACTTGTGATGATATCCAAGATATGTTATTTTGGGGTGGGATAAAAATAAGTTACAAAAATAGTGTAATTAGTATTTTCCCATTAAAAATGATAATATTTATAGAAAACACACTTTGGGAGGAATTTCATGATTAGAATGAGGGCTTTGGAGTGAGATGGCATTGGTTTGGTTTCCAGCTCAGCCTCTTATTAGGGATGTAAACTTGGTTAAATGACTTAACTTTTTTGGCTTTCTTGTCTCACCTATAAAATGAACATAATAATCTCACTTACCTTTTAGAATTATTGTGAGAGTTCTATGAGTGACCATATGTCAAATGCTTTGAATAGCTCATAGAAAGCCTCAAATGTTGTCTTAAACAAAAAAGAAAGATTACTTTGGTTAGAGGAGTGAACAAATACCTACATTGATTATACTAGCAAAATTCTAGCTTTTAGAAATCAGGATCTATGTGGATAAAATTTGTTAGAATCTAGCTTCTTCGTTAGAATCTAGGTTATTCTTCATTTCCTTAGCTTTCTTTCTTCTGCTTCCTACTCCAGCTTTCTCATAAAAGCGCCCATGATTATAATAAGGGTGGATTGAGTCAAGGCTGGGGTGGGACACAGCTGTGGATGTGGAGAGACCAGGTCAGATCTGGTTTCTATGCTTGATATTTGTGTAGGTGACTGGGTAGTGGTTTATGTTTGGTAAGACACTTTGTACAGAATTTCAAATATATATGCATTAAATACTAAAACACGTTGGGGACCGTCCTGCCTGGTCTCAAGAAGCTGTAACCCCCCGTGACTTAGGCTGAGTGAGAGACCTCCGGACCAGGAGCCACTAAGGAGAGATGGGTAAGATTTCCCCATAAGGGAATCATCTAAGACAGGCATGATCACGAGGAGGCCTCTGGGAAGAGACTCGGGGCTGTGGAAATGAAGGGGTGATTGACATCAACTCCTGCCCCCTCGGCTCTGTCAAAACCTGAGTCCTTGTTCTTAGAAGTGAGAAATCCAAGTCTCCTGGCTGCCTTTGTCTCCTTTGTTGACTCAGGCCTGTGGAAATAACAGGGGCAGTGCAGCCCAGACCAGAGACGGCGGACCCCTGAGGTAATCAGGCCTGGGACATAGAATATGCAAGATCCTGTGAGATCTGTTTGTTGGAGGATGTTATTAAATTAGAATATGAAGGCACAAGCAGGAAACGAGACTAGCCTTTTAGATCCTGTAGTGATAAAACCCCAAACTCTGCCCAGAATCACAGTGGGGGTTCTGTCTGCACCTTTGTAAGTCACCTACTTCTTTTGATCTTTTCTGTCAGGCTGTGAATCCACAAACTAAATCTGTATTCTTAATAAAAATCTGCTTGGGAATGGACACGGGGCGATCTCCACTAGAGAGAGTGGCTGTTCTGTCCCTATTTCCCCACAGGACCTGGAGGTCTCTGTGTATGTTTTTCTCGTGTTTCGATGAGCATCTGCAGCAGAGATGGATACTGCTGGCTGGTATCCGCCACAAAAACACATCATTTTGTCCCCCACTAAAGGTTATCCTCATGAGCAAGTCACAATTTATTGTGAACAATTAAGCATTTTCAATCAGAATGTGTTAATTTTCTGTAAAGTATAAATTTCTGTGAAGTGTAAAGATTTAGGTATGAGTAACAGAAATCTGAATTTTGATCTTTCAGATTCTAATGGAAGTGTCTCATATAACTTGTTCTACTTTTCTCTCAGGTGGGGGAAGCTGTTCTTACTATTATTCTTGCTTTTGTCTCTTAAGTTACTTATTCTGTTGTACTCAATGTTAAGTGTTACATTTTAAAAAGAATTACAGCATTCATATAGAAATTGTTTTAAACCTCAGAGAGGTTTAAATTGTTTTATTTAGTAACTAATTTAAATAACTATATGATTGTTAATTCATTATTTGTTCTTTTAAATTAATTAGTATTGAAATCAGGAAAATTATATAATCATTTATTCCGTATTAGACCCACATTGATTTTTTTTTTCTTATCTCTTGCAGGATTTCTGGTAGGTCCTATTTTTAGGACAAGATGTGGTACTATTGAAACGCCAATCTACTCTGATTCACAGACACTTACCTTTTCAGCTGGGAAGCCTTTTTTTCCCCCAGCTTACTGAACCTATGAAACCATGGCGGAAGGAGAGACAGAGTCACCTGGGCCCAAAAAATGTGGCCCCTATATCTCATCTGTGACTAGCCGTAGTGTAAATTTGATGATTCGAGGAGTAGTGCTTTTTTTTATTGGAGTATTTCTGGCATTAGTGTTAAATTTACTTCAGATTCAGAGAAATGTGACGCTTTTTCCACCTGATGTGATTGCAAGCATCTTTTCTTCAGCATGGTGGGTACCACCATGCTGTGGCACAGCCTCAGGTATGTGTAGGTTATTTCTGTAATGCTTAGAAAGAAAATGGGGTGAGTGTGGATGTTGTCAGAGCAACACTTCATTTAAAAATCAACTTTATTGAGGTATAATTTAAATGTAATCAATGTACCTGTTTTAAATGAACAGTTTGATGAGTTAGAGCAAATGCATATAGTCATGTAGCTACCACCACAATCCAATGATGGGACATTTCCATTACCCTCAGATTCACTTGTGCCCTCTTATAGTCTACTTCCCACCCCCAGCTTTAGGCTTCCACTGATTTTTCTATGACTAGTGTATTTTTGCCTGTTATAAAATATAATATGAATGGAATCATGGAGTATGTACTCTTTTGTGTCTGATTTCTGTCTGACCTATGACTTTAAAAAATATAATTCTAAAAACCTGATTCCCTTAGGGATGGTGCTTTCAACCTCTTAATTTTGTTCTATCTTCAACCCATCGCACGTAAGTCTTATTTTAAGTTATGTTGATGATCACCACTGTTTGGTTTGAAGGGTTTGGTTTTAAGGGTGTATTATGGTCTTCTTGAAGTAAATAAAAATTTGAAAGCCAGAATAGTTTGTTCAAGTGTACAGCTTCGAGTTATTTTTCAGGTTTTGTATGTTTCTTTCTTTGGCATCATGTTTTTAAATGTACCTTACAAATAATGAATGCTTAAAGAGATCAATTAGGTAAATTCTCTTTGCTTAAAATCATTATAATCTTATACTTGGGATCCTTTTTTTGGTGGACAGTATGTAGTGGATAAAGCTGTGCATTTCAGAAGCCCTATTGATGATGCTGATCTTTCGTAATGAGTAGCTCTGTAGCTTTTTCTAGTGACTGAGACCAATAGATTAATGATATTCTATACAATAAGGTAATGGAAGTCATGCTTGTGTGGTAGGAGGGAGTTCTGATGAGGGAGAAAATTGCTCATTTGAATTTCTATTTGGTGTCTCCTACTTAATATACACAAATAATTTACACTATAATGTAGATCCTTCTTGACTTACATCCTAAAGCTGGAGGTCAAAGGGTAAGGAGTTAGTTGTGAGATGTATTGAACCTCCTAAAACCTACCAGATAATTACATAATTCCATTGCTTGGATGGGTGTTGTCATGGTAAGATTTCAGTGTAGTTTATATGTTGATGTCTCACTATTTATAATATTCATATCAAAAGAAAAGTTATAAAGGTGATGATTCTTAGCTTCCACAGGGTTATTATTCTCTGAGAGAATAGGTAAAATAGTCCAAAGACAAGACAGCATAAATGATAATTTGTCATTCTCTGTTGTAGCATGTACTTTCCTTTCTTTCATTTTAATTTGGAAAGAGGAAAAGTTTTCCCAACAACTTCTTCTAGTTCTTTCTTTATTTTCTACTGCAGTATAACTGCTGTCTGGCTACCAATAAAAACTTTTGGTGACTTGGAAGAACATGTCTTTTAAGAATAGACAAATGGAAAGTCAGAGGAGGGAAATAATTACTTACTGAATGTCTACTCATGTGCTAGGCCACATCCTTTAACCCCAAAGATCTTCAGGGCAACTTTGGGAGTCAGAAGTATGGCACCATGCCTGTTTTGGAGGGATGAGGAACCTGAAATGATGAGAGGATTTTTTTTTGTTTGTTTTAAATTTTAATATATTTTATTGATTATGCTATTACAGTTCCATTTTTTTCTCCCCTTTATTCCCCCCTGCCCTTTACCCCCTGCCCACCATCAGTTCCCCACCTTTGTTTATGTCCATGGGTCATACATATAAATTATTTGACTTCTCCATTTCCCATATTATTATTAACCTTCCCCTTTCTATTTTGTAGCTACTGTTCATGCTTCTTATCCCTGTACCTTTTCCCCCATTCTCCCACCTTCCCCACCCCCTGCCCCGCTGAAAATCCTCCATCTGATCTCTATTTCTGTGAATCTTTTCCTATTCTAGTTGTTTGCTAAGTTTGTTTTTGTTTTTTTTTTTTAGGTTCAGTTGTTGAAAGTTGTGAGTTTCTTGTCATTTTATGTTCGTGTTTTTGATCTTCTTCTTTTTGTTAGATGAGTCCCTTTAACATTTCATGTAAGAGCTTGGTGATGATGAACTCCTTTAACTTGACCTTATCTGAGAAGCATTTTATCTGCCCTTCCATTCTAAATGATAGCTTTGCTGGATAGAGTAATCTTGGATGTAGGTCTTTGCCTTTCATGACTTTGAATACTTCTTTCCAGCCTCTTCTTGCCTATAAGGTTTCTTTTGAGCAATCAGCTTACAGTCTTATGGGAACTCCTTTGTAGGTAACTGTCTCCTTTTCTCTTGCTGCTTTTAAGATTCTCTCCTTCTCTTTCATCTTGGGCAATGTAATTACGATGTGTCTTGGTGTGTGCTTCCATGGGTCCAACTTCTTTGGGACTCTCTGAGCTTCCTGGACTTCCTGGAAGTCTATTTCCTTTGCCAGATTAGGGAAGTTCTCCTTCATTAAGTTTTCAGTTATTTGCTCTTGTTCTTTTCCTTCTGGATCCCTGTGATTCAGATGTTGGAACACTGAAAGTTTTCCTGGAGGTTCCTAAGCCTGTCCTCATATTTTTGAATTCTTATTTTTTCATTCTGTTCTGGTTGAATGTTTATTTCTTCCTTCTGCTCCAAATTGTTGATATGAGTCCCTCTTTCCTTCCCATCACTGTTGGTTCCCTATGCATTTTCCTTTAATTCACTTTTTATGGCCTTTGCTTTCCTCTGTTTTGCAACCATACTCAACCATTTCTGTGTGCATCGGGATTACCAGTGTTTTGAGCTGTACATCTGATAGGTTGGCTATCTCTTCATTGCTTAGTTGTATTTTTTCTGGAGCTTTGATCTGTTCTTTCATTTGGACCATATTTTTTTGTCTCGGCATGCCTGTTATGTAGTCAGAGGCAGAGCCTTAGGTATTCACCAGGGCAGGGCAACCCAGGTCACTGTGTTATGGTGCTATATGTGGGGCAGGGGTCTGAGAGGGGACAGTGCCACTTGCTGAGTTTTCTGCGGGCTTTCAGTCACTTCCTCTACTACCCACAAGCAAATTGGGCTCTTTTGGTGCTGATTCCCAGGTGGGTGGTTTTGTTCTAGGACCCTGTGAGTCTCCCCAAAGAACTCTCCTATCAGGCTGGGAGTTTCTCTTGGCCCCCCAAACTCCTACAGGTTTTTCAGAGGTTTTGAGGCTTTATTTCCCTGCACTTGAGCCCTGGGTTGTGTGGTCTCTCTGGCTCCCCAGTTGTTCCGATTTATCTGCATGTAAATGTGGAACCACCTGCTCCACCAGGAGCCACCTCGCCTGCCCTGTCCTCTAGTTACTGCCTTGCTGTGAGTCCTCTCCACCCTGGCTGCCTGTGTCTGCCCCTTGTACCCGTCTGGATGAATGTTTCTTCTTTAACATCTTGGTTGTTGGACTTCCATACAGTTTGATTTTCTAGCAGTTCTAGTTGTGTTTTTGTTTTTAAAAATGTTGTTGTCCTTTTGGTTGCGTGAGGAGGCGAAGCGTATCTAACCTCTGCCTCCATCTTGGCCAGAAGTCCCAAAATGATGAGAGGATATTAAGGAATCCAGGGTCCCAGAGGCAGTGAATGGTGTGGTTAGGTCAAATGTCCCATGCTGGTGAAGGGGAAAGAGGGAGCTACTCTACTCCTGGTGCATCTTTTTAACACCTGTGGCCTAATAAGTGTGAGGGAGGCTTGGATGGAATGCACTGACATGGGTTGCACATCCTGGGCTGGGGTAAGAGAACTTAACTAAGGTTATATTGTACCTCCACTGCAGATATGAATGGAGCGATGTGGGCACTTCTGCCACAAACTCACGATTAGGAAGGAAAATTCTGAATATTAATGTCACTCACTTCGTCCCTGTTTTCCTTCCTTTTCCCAGCTACTAGGTTTCTCACACTTGCAAACTTAACATCATACCTTTTCATTTGGGAATTTGCAGTTCTTGCTAAATTGTTTCTTCTGAAAGCAGTGTATTCTGTGATGCACCTGGGCAAAAGAAATTAAGAGGCATTAGGAGATTTATATTTCATTTACCTGTGCTACTGATTCTTTTTGGATAATTCATGTTGTTTAGTAGATGAGGATGAAGATATCAGATTTGTGGAAGTTGCCAAGGATGGGAAATGAATTCTTGCATAATTGCTGCTCCCCCAATCCTCAATTTTAGGGAAAATATCAAGGAAAAATAAATGATGTAAGAAACAATGTGTACAAGTTTGTGTGTATGTAGCATGCATATTTTTTCTGTATATGTGTTGGTATACATTTTCAAAACTCTCTAGGCTTTTACCATCTTAAATCAGAAAAACTGGTGATTGTCCTTTGATTTTCCTGTCCAACTAATATTCATAGACTGAGCAGCTACCTCCTGGAGGGTCTCTACAATAACCACTTTCTATGTGTAAACAGAAGGGCCCCTGATTATCTGCTGCCTTTCTGTATAACACATAGGGCTGGGGAATTTGCTATGGGTGCTTGTGGAGAGACAGCTAGTAGAGAACTTTGTTAAATTGCTTTTGATATGATTTTCCTTTTCTTAGTTCTCTCTTTTTAGTTTAGTAATGACTAATGTTTTAAGTTGATTAATTTCTTTATGTTCAGTGAATTAGAATTGGCATTAGAAACCTCTTCAACATTATTGAGGGCCTCTAAAGGAACCTTTCTGAAGAATAAATAGAAAGAAAAAGATAACTGTAATTGTAGTGCAAAATAAGTAGAGAAATTGATTAAAAAATCATAAGTTTTACCAGATGGTACTCATACCTATGAAACCAACATCTGATTTAAAAAGAAAAAAACAAGTCTTTCCTGCTTAGCCATGTAGTCAGTTACCCAGTTTCTGGAGAGCCCTGCAAGACTCCTCTCTCTCTAACTCCCACATCCATTTTCCAAGTTTTACATCTTTCCTCTATCTCTTTCTTGGGCCAGGCCCTCAGCCATTCTGCTTAGAATTTTCAGCTTTTTCTTTTTCTACCTCTAAT